TCTGCAGATAATTGTAAAGGTGCCCATACACTGTACGATTCTCGTACGAGAATCGCGGGAAATCCCACGATCGTACGAGAATCGTACAGTGTATGAAAGGCGTGCGACCGTTTCTACTGTACGGTCGCACGTCTTCCATCGAACAAGCAGGCTAGAAAACCCGCCGGGAATCGTACGATTCTCGGCGAGTGAGTGGCCTGCTTGTTCGACAACTGACGAACGGGCCGGTGTGCGCACGCGTACACTGCCCGTTTGCCGTCCTCGCAAGCCCGCCCCTCATTGCAGTCATCGCAAGTACGATCTGCCTGTCCAAGATGGGCAGATCGTACGTTTTTTTAAGTACTTTACAACGCTCGCAAGACAAAAGTCTTGCGAGGGTTGTAAAGTGTATGGGCACCTTTAACCGAACAAACTGAAGAGAGAAGCTGATTGGTTGCCATGCACAGCTGCTTCAGATTTTGTCTGCTCCAGTTTTGATCAATTCTCCCCATTGTGTTTTCTGTACTTGCAGTTTGATTAAAGGGATAACACGTGTGTGTGTGTTGCAATGATGTTAAAATATGTTTTGTTTGTTTTTGCTTTGATATACGCTTTAGTTAGTAATTGTACCCAAAGTTATAATTACTAAGGATAGACTTGGTGGACCACTTGTGTCTTTTTATGCTATCATTTTTCTATGATATTATGGCACTATGCTATTTATTTATTGACCACTATACTAATCCGATTTCTTTGCTGGGTCAGCAAAGGATATTCTTTTTTCCCTGCAGAGGCAAAATCAATTGCTTTCATTTGGACCGAAATCATTAGAATTTGTGGGAGGTTAAACATGGCCTTTTCTTAATTTTAACTAAAAGTGTATAAAAACCCAAGAACAAAAAAATAACATTTTGCAGCTCACCAATCCCTACATGTCGTGGCTGCATTAGGTTTCTTTTTCAGGTTCTATAACCTGCCTGGTGATCCTACCAGCAACACTTCCCGTCATGCGAGGACTACACTCTTACTGTACTGTATTTGTGAAGGAGCAGTGCTGTCACTATGGGCTGCTCGCTACTTTGGACTACAGAACACTTCACATTTTTGTGCCCCTCCCTTTTAGATTGTAAGCCCTTTAGGGGCAGGGCCCTCCTTACCATCTTGTCTTGAATTGCATTGTAATTGTAATGTCTTCCTTATATTCTAAAGCACTGCACAAACTGTTGGTATATAAATCCTAAATTATAATAATAATAATAGTGTAAAGGTAGGGGGATGTGTAGCTCAGAGAGGTAAACTAGGCAGGGCTGATAACATCACTTAAAATTTCAGTGAGGCAGGGTGCATAAAGCTGGCCATACACCTGACAATTTATTTTGTTCAAGCCACGGGCTGAGCGGAAGAAATTGACGCAATTCCTCCATCCACTAGACCTGTGCGCCGTCAAAAAAATTTTTCAGTTCCGTTTCGGAATATCCGTTATTTCGTATTTCGTAATTCGTGTCCGAAACTCAATACGAATTTTCGTTAGTTTTGGCACATTTTCGTAACTGTACGAACATTTGTTATGATGAAGTTAAAAAGCAAAAATACCTTTGTTAATATTGGAGTCGATGTGGTAGTTGTTTTTTTATCTGAAATACGAATTCTGTTAACGGATTCCGGATCCGAATTTCGTATTTCGGATAAAAATAAACTACCATCAACTCCAATATAAATGTACTTTGCTTTTTAACTTCAATATAACGAATGTCAACGGAATTTCGTATTTCCTGCCTGTATTGTAATGCAACTCTCAGCAGCAGAAGAGAAAACCTCTGATTGGTCACCTAAACAAAATACGAATTCCGTTAACGGATTCCGGATCCGAATTTCGTATGACAAAAAATAAAACTACCATCAACTCCAGTATATTAACAAATGTATTTTGCTTTTTAACTTCAATATAACGAATGTTCGTAACGGAACGAAATTCCGTCAACGGAGTTTCGTATTTCCTGCCTGTGTATTGTAATGCAACCCTCAGAAGCAGCGGATCCGTATTTCGGATTAAAAAAAAAATCTTGTCATGTTGTTCAACCTCATTTACAGGGGTAATATTAGTTCCTGTTTCAAAGAAATTCGGATCCGAAATTCGTTAACGGAATTTCGTATTTCGGATATAATTCGGAAACTGCGATTCGGATTTCGGATGCTTCCAAATTTCAGGAAAATTCGTACGAATTTTGATTCGTAACGAAACGACTACCATCCACACAAACCGCGTGTTGATCGAGGAATCCCCGCTGTTTGCATTGTATTCTGGCAGGTGCCGCCGATCAGAGCGGGCAGCTCATTGTATCTTATGAAGATTTTGCCAGCAGCTCCTTCGATCAGCTGATCGAGGAATGTCGGCTGAAAAGGAGCCGTCAGCCCATTACATTGGCCGAATTTCGGCTGGTTCATTAACTACCTTCTTGGATGTAACTGGGCGTGTATACACGTCCTGTTACATCCGCCCGCGAGCGGGAAATGCCCGCTATTTGAGAAGCGTCGCCCATGGCCAATTTTGGCTATGCTATTTTTTTGCGAGTACGCGCAATTTTTAAGCTTGACATGTTTGGTGTCTATTTACCCGACGTGACCCCCTCTTTTATATTTTACCAAAAAAGTGGGTAATATTAGTTGTTTTATAACATAATGTAAAAAAAAACTTTTTTTTTTCTTCAAAATTTTCAGTAATTTCTCCTGAATATAGTAAAAATAAAACCCCCAGTGGTGATTAAATACCACCATAAGAAAGCTCTATCTGTCCCCAAAAAATTGTATAAAATTAATTTTCAGTACAGCGTTGCATGATGGAATAAATGTCACTGCAGCGCTGAACACTGAAAAATGGCCTGGCCAGGAAGGGGGTCTAAACACCTGGTCTTCAAGCGGTTAAAAAACGGCCGAAATTCGGCCAGTGTATGGGCATCTTTTAGAGTTCACTGAATTTCTAGCAGTATCATCCAGTATTTTATGCATGCTTTCAATTTATTATTATACAAGAAGGTAGGAAATTCATTGTTGGGGTTTACACATTTAACTGTGCATAGCAAATAAGCCTTTGGCAAGGAAGCATTGCTTGAAATCTCCCTACATAGTACTTCAGCAAAGTAATGGAAATATGTAGTACACAAGGACCAATGAAGAGACTTCTTACAGGGTTAGAAGGGTAGAGTGCTTGCATTCTTGTATCCTGCTTCTGACCCAGAATGTTTGATGTGATGTCAGAAAACAGCAGCCTTCTGTTATATTACTAGAGTAGAGTGACTGAAATGTACAGCATACGTTGTCCCCACAAACATATCTAATATCCCTCAGCATTGATACAGAGGGTTAATCTGTTTGCTGGCAAAGCTCATTACACAATGGATTTTTGTTGCAGATCCTTTCATTGATCAACAGGTCCATGCATTCAGCTAAAAAGTGATTCATTCTGTTTTGTGTGTTGTTTTTTTTTTTATAAAGCAGGCAAACTTAAGGAAAATCAAAGGAGAATTTAGTCTTGAATGTCCAAATGCTTGAATAAAAATGTTTTTCTATTTTTTTGTAACTGTCTATAGAAAAGCAAGCCTTTCCAAGGAAATAGGTATTCACAGAACCACAGTTCACACTTCTGTAAATCAGCTTTAATGGTTTAGGAGTACTTTAAACCCTAGATCTTTTCATATACACAATACACAATCTCACGGAAAATGTCTACTCTGCTTCATCCTAAACTAAACCATATTTTTCTATTTGAAAAACATTGTGACTTTATATGCCCCGGGACTTTTTCAGCAAAACACTGTCACTATTTTTTCCACTATTGCCCAGTTGCTGCAACCATTACAAAAGCTTTGGAATCTCAAGAGATGTGAGAGTCCAACAAGTGATTAAACTCCTGAATGTCCACTTACAATTAAAGTCAGCTGTGGATGGAGTTGACCGTTAAATTGCCCTAACCCTGATTGAGTATTTTAATGTAAACACGGTAGTAAAATTGTGTATTAGCCCCATGCTATCTAAAAATATTTTGTCATATTCTTTACATTTTCTTTCTAAATTGTTCTTCCTTCCTTTTATGATCCCTTCCTGGGATTACTTAATTCTCTGTAATGAAATCAGTCCAGTCAAACGGAGCTAGTGATAGGCTCCCCTTGGTGGCTTTGTAACTGTGCACTTTGTATGTTTGGGTTCGTTGCAACACAGTAGGAACAGTATTATCTAGGGTAATATGTGAAGATTCTTTCTGTTTTTCTCTGTAGCAATGCCAGTTTTCCATTTGTCTAAGCAGATAACCAGCAAGTCTGACAGTTTTATTTTTCAAATGCATTCCCCATATTGTAGATGTTAACCAGATGTCCCGCATTTTTTGTTCCCACTTTTGCCAGTGAAAGTTATTTTTGCTAGATGAAAGAGAAGTTTCCTTAAATGAAACAGACACATCAGATGTTTGGAATGCTCTTTTGTGGTGTGATCAGTGTGCTTTGTGTTTATTATTGCAGCACAAGTACCCATCTATAATGCAAATTGTTTATGTGCAGTACTCCTCCTTTTTTTTGTTTTTTGTTCAGCCAACGAGAAGAGGTTTACATTGAATTGATATATTTAAACATTTGTGTTAGAGATTATTCCTCACTGTTCCCAAAACTGACATGTAGAATGGGGAGGTATACATTATACATCATGGCTATTTTGAATTCTAGCTAGTCAGTAAAAGTTATCATAATGTGTAATGTAACATTGGCTAAAACCTTTTCTGTTTTATGTTGTAGGTATATTCTGGATGTGGTGCTGTCATAAACCCCACAGGTAGAGACCTCATTCTGTCTCCAGGTTTCCCTAACAACTATCTTCCTGGTTCTCATTGTTTGTGGCAGATCTTTGTGCCTGCTGGTTCCAGCATAGAGCTGGAAACTCTGGACTTCGACATATATGAGAGTACAAGTTACAGTGACCCTGCTACCAGCTTTTCATCCTCTGACATTAACTACCATTTCGCTCACAAAAGAGCCATGGACCAAACTACTTTGCCAAATGATCTAGAAATTGTTTCATCAGAACAGGCTGATTACGCCAATGAGGCCAGCAACCATATTCTTGCTCCACAGAGATGGGATGAGACTAATAATGGCATTAAGCCCTTGAAATCTCAGGATTTGTCCAGCAATCCAAATATTTCCAGCCTTGAACCAGGCACGCCACAAACAAGGCTGCTTTCTACAGTAACACAAAATTCTGATGGTCCTTCTCAAGACTACAACAAGCCTATGAATCTTCTGGCCTCCTTAACTTCTAGAGTAATAACAAATGTTTTTCAGCAGGTGAGTGAAGATGCAACATCCTCATCCATTAACGTTGGGACTGATCCCTTTACTATTTTGCCCCCAGTGCTGGAAGTGTGCCCGCTGGATGTCCTCTATATCACTGACCTTGTCACTTATTCCTCACGCTTTTGTGGATCATATTCTCTCCTAAACAAAAATCTGACATTTGGTTCTCCTGTCGAAATGATTGAGGTGGTTTTGGAGCTAATCACAACTACTAACCATGGTCGAGGTTTTGCCCTTCTCTTCACATACCATAACCAGTCATTGGTGACTGCACTGGGTGTTCAAAAGAGCCGAGGCAGGGAAAATGTTGTGCTGCTAGCTGCGGTTGCTGCTGCCATATCTTTTACTTGCGTCTTGGTGCTGGTGCTTTGCTTGTCTTATAGGTAAGATTCTATTTTTCATTTTGAGAAAATGACCAACTACGTTGCCATTTATTGATATATTATGAAAAAAGTTAAAATAAACTTGTCACAAAGCTTGGCAATTTAAACTGAGAATATGGGGATAACAGTGATAAACAGAGCTTACTTTCAGTAATAATCGAATCAGGAAATCCGGAAATACTGGCAACTGAAGCTGGATACAAATCTAAACTGGAGATTACTACGGCAAGAACCTATGGATTTTTGCGGCAGGAATCATAGGTGTGTCCATACAGATGCGGCTGCTGTGCCCATTCAAGTGAATGACAGTCTGACAATCTGTCTGTGGTTGTCCGCAAGTAATTGTACATGGAATGATTACCTGCAGTTCGAGATAGATTATTGTTCCTGGACACGATCTGTCTGGATCTGTACAGACATACCTAGTAGACATATGTGATTTGTTTCGACTAGAAATTTGGACATTCAGTTGCATCCAAATTTCTGAATGAAAAAATCATGAATCTGAATTTTCCAAAAATGAAAATTTCGGATGCATCTGATATCCCCCCCCTGAATATTCTAAAATAATTTTGTTAAACGTAAAACGAAAAAAAAGAAAGTCCCTTCCCCAATTCATACCAGACACTTTAGGTGTAGGAATTTTAGGGGGGATCCCAACGCCAAAAAAAAAAAGAATGCGTAACCAGAACACATGCCCTCGAAAAGCACCCCCTGGAAAAGCACCTCCTCCCCATGTCGATAAGGACAAAGGCCCTCTTCCCCACAACCCTAGCCCGGTGGTTGTTTGTTACCCCTACTCATTCTCCAAATAAAAAAAAGTTGAATTGTAAATAAACAACACACCGTACACAAAAGTCCTTTTATTTGAAAAAAAAGCACAACAAAGGTTTTTAACAAGTTGTTTTTTTGGGGGGGCGGGGGTTGAATTAAAGTGTCAATCGATGTAATACAAAGGTCAATCACATTGTCCAGCGATGTAGATCCATATCAATCATGATGGACGACGGTCGCCAACTCACTGAAAGGAAAAAAAAACCCAGACAACCTGTCCGATCCCGAAGAACATCGCCGCAAAATGACAGCTCTGACCCAAATGACAGCTCTGACCTGAATGTCAACAAAGGGGCGAAGCGAGTCGTGACATCACGGAACTTGTTCCTCCCATTTGTTGACATTCGGCAACAGAGCTGTCAATGGGCGGGTTCGGGGGTGGCCAGGCTGCTGAAAGAAAAAAAAAGAAGTCACTTTTTGTTTCTAATGTCACTTTACTGCAATTAAAATTTGTTGGTCATTATCAAACACATCCAAAATTAATGAAAATTTCGGATTTTTCTGAATCCAAATCCCGAAATGAATTGATTTTGGACCTGAATCCCAAAATAACGAAACATCGGAAACTAAATGAACCAAATCAATTTTTTTCCCGGCTTAAATGTCTAATACCTGGTATTCATGCTTCAAGAATCGCTAGGTTTCCCCGCCACAGCCTTAAGCCCTATGTGAATGGGGCCTTAGTCCTCCAATGTGATGACTGGGCTAAGTATTCACTGCCTTGGAAACTGTAATGTTTTGTTCTCATAGAATATTGACTCACAGTGGTTTTATTTATATATTCATTTTTTTTTACACAGATCAACAGATCAGGAATAAGTTATGAGAAACAGATATCTGCAGTGATTTGAATTAATTACAATGAAATAAAAAACAAAGTATTGTATTGCATAAAAACAGAATGCTGTGTTACCAAAATAACTCCTGCTTATGCAATTTCTATCATATGCTCAGTTTGAATTGCCCAGATGAATGACAGGTTTGCTTTAACTATAAGCCAAAATGTAATCTTCCTTAATCTGCATACCTGTCAATTACACATTTATTTAGGTTGTGGCCAGCGTGACTGCAATCATTTCAGTGCTGCTTCGAATACTGCAAGGAAGGGCTTCATGTGTAAACAGTGTTGCCTTGTGCTTTCCGTGTATTGCATAACTCATGCTTCTTGTTATTTAATTTTACAAAACAATGTCGTTTTGAACTCCAGACAAAAATTGACTGAAACCAGATGTTCTTACTTGCTCGATAAAATGACATAACATTGTAGTGTTAAGCAAAAATCTTTTCATGGTAAAAGTATGCCTGTTGTGAAAGAAATATACGTAGGCTGCAGTGGTGGAAGTACCGCCGGTGCGGCAGGTGCCGCCGCACCGGGGCCTGAGGCTGTGGGGGGGCCCAGTGGGGTCCGGGCCTGGGCACCCCCACAGCCTCAGTGGGGTCTGGTCCGGCAATAGGGGGCAGTGTGGGGCCCCGCACTGCCGACGGGTTTCTCAGTGAGGGGGCGGGTCCTGTGACTCGCCTCCCCTCCCGACCGCGTCCATAGTAACAGGAGGTGAGTCACTGCCCCCTGCAGTGCACACATCGACACATGGCTGCTGCTATCCGGGCAGGGCGAGTCCGAGCGGGGGAGGGGGGGCTCTTCATGTAATTAGACAAGTGGATTATAATGGGGAATATTACACTGTAATGTTCCCTATTATAATCTATTTCTCTGATTAAATGATTACAGACAGGCCTCTGTTCTATCACAGTTTGAGACTACGTTAGAATGTGTGACCAGTGACGTGGTCACACATTTAAACGTAATCTCGCCCAGTTTTTCGGCGGTGGAATACTTGAAGCATTCCAACGCTTTCTCCAATGTTCCAGGGCAGATCGGCATTGCAAATTGCATGTGCAGGAGAACCGATCTGTCCTGGAACAGCTGTTCAGCCCTGAAATGTCACTTCTCTCCGACTGCGATCTCACATTCCACCGCACTCACAAAGTCGGATAGAACTGACTTTTCAGGACCGATCAGCAGCTCCAGGACAGATCGGTTCTCCTGCACATGCGATTTGCGATGCCGATCTGCCCTGGAACAGCTGGGAAAGCGCTGGAATTCTTCACCCATTTGCGGTCACACATCCCACCGCCGAAAAAAACTGGACGCGATTACGTTAAAACGTGTGGCCACGTCACCGGTCACACATTCTAACGTAGTCACAACCTTTGATAGAACACCGCCATCAGGGGTGTATGGCCGGTACCCATGTGAGGGTTCTGGGGGGCCTCTTACATGGGTATCAACTGTACCGGGGCAGCATGATAGAGGTGACAAGGGAGGGGGTGGAGGAGGCCGGGCCCCAGCAGCAGCAGTTAAGAAGAGTTGCGAGGAGGTACAGGGATAGGGACCCCGGCGACCAGCCCAGCCCACCTGGGACCCTGCACAGCCCACCATAGAGAGTCTCAGGTGATGCAACCAGAGTGATGTACATCTTGGGTTGCATTTTTCCCTGTCCTCAGTGCCTGGAAGCTCATTATTATGTGCGGGGGGACAGCCTGCTGCAAGGTAAGACTTTTATACTTTGTAGGGGTCCTCTGCACATAACGGGCTCAGGTATGTCGTGGATCTCTGCCATTTTCCATAGACCTAGATATTTGAGTAGTAAGCTTTGTTATAGTCACATAAATGAACTTGGCCGTGACATTTACTGTATTATTGTAGTCAAGCCTTACAGGTGGAGGATATTTGTGTGTGCTGATGCTTGGCAGAAGCCAGTCAGCAGTTTCCTTGCTTCTGCTGTTTCTAGCTAGTCAATTGGGTCAATCACATCTCCTGGGTGTCGGGTGTCGGGCATTACGTCAACACAAAATGTTCCATCTACTGGTCAGTGGTGTACTAGGTTTGGAATTCAGACTTTGTACTTCTGTTGTACTTCTGACTAGGAGCTCCCGCCTCCCACACGTCTCCTATGTGAGCACCAAAACCATCTGGATATTCTTTCAGTGTGTCTTGCTTCATCGGACATGGGTTTATATGTCAAATATCCAGATTTTAGCCTTTGTTTGCTGAATTTTGAAGGACCTGCATGTTTCTGTAACTGTTCATATTTTTGCTGATTTCACATAAAATAACATCCTTGACCAAATTTATTTTAAAGGATTGCCATCTCGATATTGATATGTTTCTGTACAAGATCATATACCACAGTGACATCTGTTTTTTTTTTTCTCCTTTTTTATGAAACATTAGGCAAATATCGGAAGTAAATATTAGCCAACAATTTACAGTCCATGGTACACAAATACAATGACTCTGTAATGATGACAGTGCTGACAGCAAGGCATACACTTTGGTGTATTGCGTCTGGCTCTGTCTTTTTCTCACAAGCCATTGGGGTTTATGCAGGCCACCAAGGAGGCATAGGGAGGGCACAGTCCGTGCTGCCAGTGATTTTGTCTTTTCTGGCTCATCCGTTTTATGCCACAAAGAGATACTGGACTCCGTGCCTTGTTTACTGTGTGTGTGTATCTGAAAGGGTCATTTGTTAGTTAGCCAGAAATTCTAACCCTGTTTGGCCAGCATGAGTTGGTCTGAAAGAATGCCTTCCTTCATCCTCTGTGGGTAATGTCGCTGTGCAGGACCTAGGACCAGAAGAATTCCACACATGGAATGCCATCATTCTCAGGCCGTTTTTCAGTATTTATTTTTTGTACCTCATATTTGAGAGATTATACAGTCTGACACATCATAGGATCCCGGTACAAGCTTCTTTAGTACAATATATGAAAATATACATACTGTACTAGCTTCTACTGAAGAAGTCAAAATCATTCGTGTATAAGCAGTGAAGCTTACAGAGTAAAATAATGCAAAGAACGCTAACAGGGTGCAAAATGCAGTGTACAACAGCCACCAGTTGATTTGGTTTACTCCAAATACTGATGACTATTAGTAGCTATGCTTCAACCTTTTGACATTGAATAAGACTAAATAATAAGACACCTAAATATAATTTGTTAAGGTATTCGCCTCCTCAGGTGATATCATTCTGGGCGGTGGGGGTGGGGGGGTTGTTGGCAGGAAATGGTCACCGGGGAATTTGTGCTGTGCCTAGCTCACTGGTTGCAAGAAGCTTGGCGAGATGCAAGCCAGAGTTTCTTGCTCCGCTCTTAGCAACCAGGGATGTCAGTGAGCTGGGAGGGAGGCTGCACAGAGCATCACCGATTGCTAAGAGCCCTTGCCAAAGAGATTCACCTTCTCTAATTGCCCTGGTGACCATTGTTACTGAGACAAAAAAAAGTCATGGAAAATCCAACATTTTACAGGTGTCCCCAGGGCAAGAGGTGAGGGTAAATATTCCAATGAAGATGCTTTCTTCCACTTCCTATGAGACTTCCCTTCACTTCCACAGGATAGGAAGTGAAGGGAAATCTCACTAATAGGACACAAACAGCAAAACCCAACCTAACAGGGGTTTTAAGCTTTACCTACTCAATCCAAAACGAAAAAGAAAGGTTTGTGTGTGTGTGTATAGATATATATATGTATATATATATAATCACACATACATACATACACACTTTAAGTCGGAGAGGTAGAAGCACATGATAGCCCACTTTCAATTAAGACCCCATTCATACTTGAGAATGGGGCCGGATCGCTGAGTCTCGTGAATTCCTGCGGCAAGGTGCGACTGTCTGGAGGTAATCGCAACATGTGCAATTACATGCAAACAGCTGTGGGAGTGCAAACTGCTGTGGGAGTATCCTGATGGAATTTGTAAGACTAAATGGTCTGGCCCCATTCACAAACCTCACAATGCACAGGACTTACTAAAGCCAGGACATAGGTAGCCTAATTCACTTTATATGTCCCATAGTGTGCAAACAAGCGGCCAAGAAATATGAGCACTAGATGTTTTAGTCATTACTAAATGTATTTATAGTAATACAATGTCTGAATACATTCAATTACAGTAAAAAAAAAAAGTAAATCATTTAACCCTTTCGCTGCCAAGCCCTCCGGAACATTTTGCAAATCAGCTGGCCACATCGTTTTTGCAATTTTTCCTATTGGTTTGATTTTCAACTGCTGCGTTGCTAGCGTTTGTAAAAGACCCCCCAAACCATATATTTTCTGAAAGCGCATGTAGAATAAAAAGATGGTGCTACTAAATTTGTAGGCCCTGCGATAATTGCGCAAATGTTTCTCAAATTAATATTAAACCGATTAAAAATACACAATTCAATTGATAAAAGCACACTAAAAGCAATATCAGCGCACAAAAAAAAAGTTATTTTCTGGCTAAATCTAAAAGATAAAACTGTATTGAGTTAATAAATAACACATATTTCGAAATTTTAAATTGCACCTTTTTGCAAAAAGGTAACAAAATGACGGTACGCAAAACTGTAAATAAGCGACTTATGTTAAAAATTGTGTTTGCTCTGTGTTGCTTGTGTTGTGATAAAATGATACAGGCGTATATTTAATTGCAACACAAGGTATCACAATGCACGGCAATGCGTCACAAAGCTTTGCCATGCGTTGCCACAGTTAAAATAATGTTGTTTTTCTTAAAAGAAAAAACTCATGCACTGCGATGTGTTCTAACGCACTGCAGCGCATGTGCATGACGTACACCACAATATGGTGCCCGTTTATGTTGTGTGTGTGGGGGGAGGGGGCCTTGGTGACATCTCTGGGGTCTAAACAGACCACTGACATTTCCCTTTTGAAATAGAAAAATAAATCCTCAACTTCTTTTTCTGCAGCCTCACCACTCAATGAATGGGAATCATCTATACTGAATGTTCCTATTCATTAATAACATGAGGACAGAGTATGTTTACTATAACCACAATCATGAATGAACAGCAGGTGATGTAGATCACTCCCATTCATAATTGAGGACACAGTAACCATACTATGTCCTCAATTATGTACAAACATAATGTGCACTCGTCTCCTTCCTGACACGCTGTCACAGGAGGCTGAGCGAGAGGAGCTCAGCCTGCTGTGACAGCGCGTGCTGTCTCCGCCCACACATCGCTCTGCTGTAATAGGAGGCTGAGTGGTGTGGGAGGAGAGACGCTGGCCGCTCACAGCGCTCTCCTCCCGCAGCACTCGGCCGGCTGTAAGTTTCTCTCCTCCCCGCTGGGACACAGAGCAGCGTCCAGCGGTCAGGAGAGAAAGATGCACCGCTGTATTGGCCAGAAAATGGCTCTTTCGGCATTATGCCAAAAGTGCAATTTTCGGCCGATTGTGTTTCGGTGGCCGATTATATCGGTGCATCCCTAGCAGAAACTCCTGCAGATCTGGTCCGGATTTGGTGTGAACAAGCCCTAAGGCTAAATTTAACACTTTGTTGGTCCTTTTGGTACATTATATTCTGAAATAATGTTACAAACTCTGTTAATGCTCTCTGCAATTGTTTGGTGATCTCTGATTGTAACTAGCTTAAGATCTCTTACATTTTAAAGTGACATTAAACCCTCAGATTTTTTAACATAAAACAATACTGTAATTACTGTATTCCATGGTTGTTTCCCTTCTCTTTGCTGCTCTTCCTTTTAAATCTGCATCTGTTCTCATGCTGGGCAGAACTTCTGTTTTGCAGCAGACTGCCTTGTCTCTGGAATGGATACATGGTGTCTGTGTGCAGGTTCACAACCTGAGCCAGCACTACAGGAAGAGGCACTCGGCTGCAAAGGGAAGTTCTCCCCCAGCATGAGAAGAGATAAGGATTTAAAAGGAAGAGCAGCAAAGAGAAGGGAAACTACCATGGATTACAGTAAGGCACACATTACAGTATTGGTTTATGTTAAAATATCTGAGGGTTTAATGTCACTTTAACTCTGATGAAAAATGACATGGGTTAAACGACAGCCTACATTCAAAATGATAAAACAATCTATTAGAACAACACTGCTGCTTATTGTGCAAAATGCATACACAGAACCAGATTTTAAAGTAAACCTTCTACCACATGTACATTGCTAATGTTTGTGAGTTCCCTGATGGGAGGCATCTCTGAGTGCTCCAAATATCTAGTTATGCAAGTAAGCCTCGACTTCCAACCAAAGTCAATAGTTCCATTATGCCCTCTGCATCTCACAGTTCAAAGCAGGTGTCTCTCTGTTGGTGCTCTGCATTCTGGTAAGCAAGAGTCCTCTCAGAGCTCTTAGCTTTAGCTGCAATTTGAGATAAATATATTAATGTAATTTGTTTTTTTTTTTATAGGTATTTATATAGCGGTGACAATTTTACGTAGTGCTTTACATAGTGCACATTCACATCAGTCCCTGCCCTCAAGGAGCTTACAATCTAAGGTCCCTATCTCGCATACATTCATACATGTGCATATTATGGCCAATTTAGACAGGAGCCAATGAACCTAGCATGTGTCAGGCTTGGTGGATCCCCATGAAACATAGAAGTGCTTTTGGAATAAGTACCAGCACCTTAACCTATTTTCTATAAGTACCTCTTACATGCCTTTTAGAGTTTTATATCGGAATGTATAACATTGTATTTTGTTATTTATTTATTGTTTTTTTTTATTTCTTTATTTTTGTATTTCTTCAGATAAGGTAATTTACCTTTTCCAGGTGCATGTATTTGAGATAAGTACAGATGGCATGTAGGTTAGCCTCAATTGACTGAACAAAAACATAACCATTAGGGAATACCAATGAAGTGTGTGTGTGTAAAATAATGCTTTTTATAAATGGGAATGTTATGCAAGAATATTATGTTGGATAGAAAAACATGCACACCTTTTAATTTAATCTCTGAATAGATATTAGATTTACGCAACTGACAGTGTTATGTGTTGGCCATTTAGGCAGAAGATATGCCCCAAGAGAGCGCAAAATGAGAGCCAGGTCAGACAGGTGACAACACAGGTGGTAAGTATGACAAAAATACATTGAGTATATGTTTGTTTTCTTTTCGCAAACAAGTGCTACAGTTTTGTAATGCGGCACATTAGGGATAAATATTAGGGAGGTTAACAATGTGGCTCAGTGCGGCTACACCTGCCCTATCAGATGTTCACTCCGTTCTTTTTAGACTTCTACTATTCAACCAGATAGACACTAAATTCAACCAATCACGCACTGGCAAGTTTTTCTTCCACTGGTCTGGGTACATCATGAGAGAACTGTCCCTGGATCAAGTTAAACTGATTGTATCCACATTTCAAAACACATCTTGGTATCTCATGGCTCCACTTTAGGCTAGGTTCACACCAGATGCAGTGCGTTCCGGCACGATTCTGGCCGGAACGCACTGCATCGCATTGTGGCCGGCTCACTTTTTTGTGGGGCAGGAGGGGCCACGCCCTCTGGCCGCAATGCGATCGTCTGCACTGGATCGCAAGGCACATTGTGCCTGCAGTCCGGTCCGGTGCAATCAAAATAGTGCTCGGGTGTGTTAGAGGTCAGTTGCATGCAGTGCAACTTCTGATATAACTGGAAGCATAGTAACAGTTGTTACATCATGGCTTTTGTTCGTGCCGTGTCTTAGTGAATCATTTTGTGAAAAATGCAGTGGCCCTGGATAAACTGGAAACTTTTAAATTTCACTTTTTTTTTTTTTTTCACTTTTAGCGCCCGTTCACACCAGTGGCATGTGTTAAGGTGTGCGCAACACACACACACACCTGTACTGTAGTGTGGTACTATGCATTGCAATGTTCTGACCTGCTGTGCTGCACAAATGTGCAGTATATCCTGCATGTTTCAATGCAGACCAATGCAGTGCATTGGTGTGAACAAAAGTAACTGGACACAAGGCAAATTGCTTCGCCAGTGCATTGGGACTGCGTTGGGCAAGTTTTGCCCAATGCCTATGGTGTAAATGGGCCCTTCTAACATCAGTTCAAAAAATGTGCAAAGAATTTTACAGGTATTTGAAGACACTTGTAGGAAGAGTAAGAGCAGGAGTGTGTCAGCAATTAAAATAAGGTTATCTTACTTGTTCAAAATGATTGGATAGTTTACTAGGTCAAGTAAGTGGCTTTTTCTAGCTAGAAGAAATAAAAGGTTGATCTGGCACCATTCTGAAGTAATGGATAACCACCAGCATATATATGCATGTAAATTCTTATCTTGAGTCTTTAATAAGGTGCAGTTAACTGAATAATCTGTTTTTGAATAGCTGTCACCTTCTGCATTTAGCAGCGAGCTTGGCAGAGGTACCAACTGCTACCTAATCCACAGCCCTGGAAGTCTCCAGCTTTGACTCTGATTCAAGAATGCTCATTGCATTTCCCCTTTATTGTGCCAGCAAAAGCACCATCACAAACTGTTAGATTCATTGTTTGAAAGTGGGCTACTTGGCAATGAAATGGACAGCACTAATAAGCATCTAGCATGCAATCATTTTTTATCGACTCTCTTTTCTTTTTGCCATGTGTTTGTAATGCGTATTTGGTGTTTCTGCAGAATGGGATTCAAAATACAGGCTTGGATCTTAATGAACTACAGCTGGTGGTGGCAGAAGAGGATCTTCAGAATAGGGCACTGGAATCTACTGGTCAAGGTGAAGAGGGTTACCGCTCCTGTACCATCTCATTAAAGACATATCCGTATGCAGGACCCCCCACAGAATTACCATTGTCTTTTTAGAGACCCAGGCTCAGTCTGGTGTATTATGGGTCTTTTCATGTGTCCAGGAAACCAGTGCAACGGTCTCCAACCTTCTGCCAATGGATGCAATGGGAATTGCAACACTGGCCTCTAGCAGCCTCACAGCCCATGCCCCATGCATAGTAACACCTTGACACTTAAAATCCTTTGCAAGAGATATATCTGGACAATAGAAAGTGTTACATCTGGCTTTAACCTTTATTTTAATGCAGCTACTTAATAATGTATTAATATGTAATGTGCTTGACTGAAGTATAGCTACTGTACACATTCTGTTAATCTTGCAGTCTCGGCATTTACTCAGTAGCTCATATTTTTTCATAATCTTTTATTCTAGAAATTAGGCTAATTGCTTAGTAGTATAGATAAGCTGCAATTTGAAGTGAACAGAAAGGTCAAGCCTTAGCTTGACATTTCGTTCTAGTCAGGCGTGCTCAAGATTCTAGCGTCAGAACAGGTTTATATGTATCACAGCATTTAACTCTAGGTTGAATTTATCGTCAATACCTGACACCTGTAGTATTGACGATTACATACACCTTTTATTAAATTCCACAATTGACACATTTCAGTTTGTGTGACTGACGGGTACCCTTCCAGCACGTTGTTGGATTGTGCTGGGAAACCAATACTAACATGGAGAACATACAAACCCCATACAGATAGGTTACTGTGCTCATCTTCCATCTAGGAAACTTACGCAGAGAAGTACAAGAACTACACAAACAACTGCTGTGCTGTCACTTTATATCATGGACATTCTATCATGCACCATATTTGTATATGCAGAGGCCTTTCTTGCATTTAAATGAGAAAGTAATTTTAAAAGTGCAGGGCAGGAATGCAATTTTTTTCATATAATTGTGTCCAGGCTTTCTTTCCATAAACATGGAAGATTGAGCAGTGCTGATCTCGTGTTCTTTTTTTGTCAGGAAATAGGAGAATAATATAACCTTAATGTGATATCCAGTGAAATCTGGAGCAGTTTTGATGTTTTTATTAAGGTTTCTGGAAGAGTATTGTGTAAGCTCCCTGCTTGACATGTCTATCTAAAATACAATGTTTGGCTGCAGGGCATACATCGCTCTTTTTTTACTCCTTTTTTTTTTTGTACTGTAGCTACAGATGTTTCTCAGCAGATGCACCAGGAAGATCCCACCTCATGCTCAATTACAGTAACCGATTCCCACAGTGATGAGGTTTTTGTTATCTCAGCTGGCGACAACACAGACTGTTTCACTTTCAACACATATCCACTACAGGTCAGTATATGGTGTTGAAACCGTTGTATGTATAAGACATAAACTTACAAAAGTAGTTCTTGGATGGAATGGTGAAGACAAATATTGGATGCTTTCGTTTAGAGTTAAATTCTGACTACTCCATGTTTCCTGTCTGCTCCATTGTTACCACTTTTGTACATTGAATACTCCACGTTTCATGTCTGCTACTTTGTTACCACTTCTCCACTCTGACTACTCCATGTTTGCTGTCTGCTCCATTGTTACCACTTCTGTACTCTGAATATTCCCTTCCTACTACCTCCTGTACTTGAACACCTCAATATTTACCACTTCTCCACTTCAGATACCTTCTTTCTGTCTCCTCTGTTCTAACAACGCCATCACTGTCTCTACAGTAAAACCTCTGTATTTACACAGAAACATAGGAGAGTGTCATCAGAAAAAGACCAAGTGGTCTATCGTGTCTGTTCCTTTTTTTATTTGTGTTGGGGTTTTTTTTTGTTTTATATCACTTCTCTACTCCTAAATAATCCTTACGTACTGTCTCCTCTATTTTAACAACTCCATATTTACTGACTCTCATCTGAGTATTCCCTGCTTACTATCTACTGTGCTCCAAAAAAATCTGTTCCTACCATTATTCTACTCTGAATACTCCCTGCTTCCTGTCTCCTCTAGTCTAACAACCTCATATTAACCACTTTCCACTTCTGATTACCTCTACAGGCATGAAAAAACACCACACATTTTTTCATCATACATGTCAAGTTAAAAATTGTTTAAAGAAGAAGTCCCGCCTTTTCACAGCTTAGTCACCTAACTCACACAGTATATGTTGATTTTTATCCCATGCTTCTGTGTGCAACAGAAAGTAAAATAAAGACTTCGGCATCTCACTCCTTCTTTATTTCTGACCACAATCTGCAAAGGTTATCCACGTGTAAAAGCGGCCATACGCAAGGCAAGGGGAGCAAACAGACCTTTAAAGAAGTCGTCTCGCCTTGTATTATTTTTTTCACAGCACAATCGCCTAACTCCTGCAGTGTATGGTGCTTTTTATCACATGCTTTGGTGTCCAGTACAAACAGATACAGACTTTCACAGTTCACTCCTCTACATTCCTGACCATGCTTTGCTAATGAGACAGACTCTTGAATGACAGCTGTCTCTGCACTTTTCAGACATAAGCGAGGTCACAGGAATGCAGAGGAAGGGGGCACGCTCTCTCAAGAATCAGCACGAGCACTAAACCTGGAAGGGGAGTCTTGTTTTTGTTTTGGCAAAGAGCAGGGACAGTGAGATAAGAGATGTCAATCAAGAGTGCCTCTCCTTTGCAGAGCACGGCCAGGAATCTAGAGGAGTGAACTGTGAAAGTCTGTATCTGTTTGAACTGGACACAGAAGTATGGGATAAAAAGCACCATACACTGCGGGAGTTCGGTGACTGTGCTGTGTGACAAGTAATACAAGGTGAGACTTCTTCTTTAAAGGTCTGTTTGCTCCCCTTGCGTATGGCCGGTTTTACATGTAGATCACCTTTGCAGATTGTGGTCAGAAATGAAATAAAGAGAGCTGCTAAAGTCTGTGAGGCTTCTTCTTAAAATATCTATTTGCTCCCCTTATGTATGGCTAGTTTTCCATGTGGATAACCAGTCTGCAGAGGCAAAGCCTGGCACGTCTCCAGAGGAAAGAATGTACACAGATTATTTCCATAGCTGCAAGTCCATTAGGACAATCGCCTAATGCAGTGTTCCTATTGACTTTTCATCCATATACTGTCAAATGTAACTATTCTTCAATAGCTAAACTTTAGTGAATTTCCAGCTAGAATGTTTTGTGGTTTTGCCAGGGCAAACAACTAATCAATAAAGTGTGTGTGTGTGTGTGTGTGTGCGTGTGCAGTGAGTGGAGTCAGTGGCATAACAACCATGCAGGGGGTGGGAAGACGGTGCAGCAGCCCCGGGCAGAAAACAGGTTTATGGCCAGGGTACACCAACTCACTGGATCACATAGTGGTAGCCTCCCTCCGTTCTGGGGTGGGAGGGGGCATGGTGGTTCCATTCACTATTTTTTGCAACTGAACCGGAATGCGTGCATTGCTGTGTCATATGTTCTGGTGCGGGCCATCGCACTGCGGCTGGGGGTGTGTCAGTGGTCATTGACTTGAATGGCACGGGCACGCCCCCTCCCCAGAATGCAAGGAGACGTCCATTATGTGATCCAGTGCGTTCTGGCCACTAACCCTACCTGGATGCACTGGAGATGGAGTGAACTGGCACTGAAGCCTGTGACACACTGCACATGGAGCCACGCACAGAAAAGGAAATCGGCTGTGAATGGAACTTTGTGTGCAGTGTGTCCAACAATATCCTCTCCCACGCTCAGCTAGGCGAGAGATGAGCGTGGCGAGATGAAAAATGTAATCTCTAGCCAATTCGCTTAAACGCATGAATCCGTCCAGCCAATTGGATTCCCCCATAAAACGCATCTGGTGAGAGGAGTCCAGAAGGGAAGTCCGCTTGATAATGTTTTCCTTACCTCAAGTTTTTTCTGTGACGTATGCCAGGGATGAGAGCTATGCAGAAAGAATGAATGTGATGTATCTATTATTTAATGATCAACTATTATTATTTAATAGGGCTGTTACTGATTAACATTTTCGTGTTCGATTAATCAAATTTTTTCATAATCGATTAATCGATTTAATTTCGATTAATTATAATGCACATACAGATCCAACTACATTGGCCTATACACATACAGCACAGCAATGAAGTAATAAAATGAACTAGGATCACACTAATCCAGCACGTTATTAATCCTTCTCTCTTCTCATGCTGGGGGAGAACTTCCCTTTGCAGCTGAGTGCCTCTTCCTGTAGTGCTGGCTCAGGTTGTGAACCTGCACACAGACATCATGTATCCATTCCAGAGACAAGACAGTCTGCTGCAAAACAGAAGTTCTGCCCAGCATGAGAACAGATACAGATTTAAAAGGAAGAGCAACAAAGAGAAGGGAAACAACCATGGATTACAGTAAGGCGCACATTACAGTATTGTTTTATGTTAAAAAATGTGAGGGTTTATTGTCACTTTAAAATGAGTGGAAACCTCCCCAGATATAGAGAGTGATATAAAACTGGCAAATGTTTTAACCATCATCTACTCTATACATACCCTGTTTCCCCGAAAATAAGACCTACCCTGAAAGTAAGACCTAGCACTATTTTTCAAGATTCCTGTAATATAAGACCTACCCTGAAAATAAGACCTAGTTCGGCGGTAGCATGTGAGGGGGAACTTGCAGGAGAGATGGTATCAGCCTGCAGGGACATACTGTATTAAGGGGATGACAGGGGACTCCCCCCAGCCAGCGCGGTTACACGGAGCACTCCAGTACCTTTCTTCACAAACTGCTGTCCCCCGAAGACACTGCTTAATGTAATGGTACTGTAATGTGTACCGGTAGATGGTACTGTACTTTACCATGCTGTCCACTGTCTGATGTCCCCACTGCTGCACCGCTGGTACCGCTGTCCCTGGTGGCAAAGGAAGCCGGCGCTGTAGAATGCAAGGCTGCGGCGGCAGCAGAGCCACATTAGCCGATATTCCTCTAGAGCGCCAGTTACTGTGACAGGCGGAGTGACACCAGATAACTTTAGATTGTTGTAGATTTTGCTGCACATTAAAAAAAAAGACATCCCCTGAAAATAAGACCTAGTGTGGTTTTTGGGGGCAAAAAAAATATAAGACAGTGTCTTATTTTCGGGGAAACACGGTAGCTGCAAAATCTAGAAATCTAGTTTTTAATGCATGCAGGCATAATTCCTTTCACCTTTCTACGTATTGCTATCATGAAAGCTTCTTTTCTCTCCCGTTCATTGAAGGACACAGGGAACAGATCGGAGATCATGTACTGTAGGGGTAATATCGATATCTTTATGCATCAAATACAGCCATATTGCGTAAATCTAGTCTGCTCCAGTAGCCTCAGCCTCGTTATTCATGACACACAATTCAGAAAGAACAACCTATGATGTGTTCTAAACCCGTAAGATGATTGTTCACTCATATTACTCAAATCTCAGATAAGCAGAATTGCTCTCACGCTACTTAGCAGTGTTCATAGTAAGCTTATTGTGTATAGGTTCTCTTTATCATTACACAGCACACTGTTTTCCTGATGCTAATTCTGTCTGCAAATCTCTGGTAATAGTTCAGCATACTTTTTTGTATGATATATGCTCTTTCAGATTAGATGTGATCATGTGCTGATTTCTGGACAAGCCTAGCAATAAGGGAGGCAGTATATGATAAGATGGCAGGTAGTGAGTTACAGGTTTATAGATTAGATTGCACTTGTTTCCAGCTTTTCATTGTAAACCATTGGGATAGTTACAAAACCTCTCCACTGTTCTTCACATATAGTACCATATGTCCATGCCTTTTTTGAGGTACGTCACCAGGTCTCTCTCAGCCTACCTCTTTGCTGTTATCAATCAAGTATGGAATGGTAGAAGGTATCAATTGATTTGTCTTGTGGGTCATGCCCATTTCAAAGCTGTTTCTAAGATAATTTTTTGTTAACTTTTTCTGACTCTGTGTAATGGGTTCATACCCATGATTCAGAATGGAAGGTTACCTTTGACCATGTGTTTGATAAAGGTCTGCAGTTTGATTACCATTTTTTTCTCACTTCTATATAACAAAACAAATATGAAACTTCCTCAGCTTTGTTATTCTGTTTAGCTGATTTGATCTCGAAATTGGTTGAAGTGTGACATAATGTGCTTTGGCCTTATTGTATCTTCTACTGATGTATTAAAGTGTAACTATAGGCAACATTTTTAAAATAGGGAATGGTTAGAAGCTCATTCAGGTCTGTGTCCCTGCTGAGGAGATTCACCTCTTTATCAGTTCTGGTAATCATTGTCTCTGGGACTGAAAGGGAAGGAAAATATAACATGTTGATTTGTCACTTTGTCAGGAATAGATGGGAAACTTTCCAGTGGGAACAATTTTTCCAGTAACCGCTGTCTAAGAGAGATCTCCTCTCACTTTCGGTTGTGTCTTGAGACTTAGCATGAGAAAAATCAACCCAATGAACACAGACTGCAAAAATGTGGCTTTACATGTACTTTATGTGGCACCTTCATTTTTGCTTGCTGCCCATACTGAGTAATTGTTTTCTGTATATATGTAATCTCTGCCTTTTAATGCAAAAAAAAAACCAAAACAATATCCGGTCTGGTAAAATAAAGTTTATAATTATAAACTGTCACGTTTTGTATACACACGGCAATAAGAATTTAGCACGTTTCTGTTTATATTTTAAAACCTTAACAAATGTTCATTTTCTTTTTTTTTTATATATTTTATATCATTCTTTTTGTTCTCTCGCTCTCGTTGATATTTCAGTGGAATAATAATTTTGGCATAAATGAATTGGTACTTAAAGTTTTCATTCTACCAATTCGATCTGGGTATTATAATGTTATGGCTGTCATTGCAGGAAGGCAGCCTAAGAAGGATTGTCACTAGCCCTGCCTCTGTATCTGACTGGCTAAATGCAGATTACACAAGTGTTGATCTGAGTGTGGATGACAAGGCCAGTGAGATAGAAGAAGTGGATGTCGCCAGAAAGAGGACTTGGAGTGCACTTACCTTTAACAGTCTCTTGCCTCAACTACAAATGAAATGGCGAAGCCGCTCCTCCAGCGGTTCCTTTACCAAACTGGTAGACCGTGTAAGTCCTGTGAATCAGATTATTATAGTCATTTTAAAATGTTCTAGTTTTGATTGCACCATATATGGATGACAATGACATGCATATGGGAATTGGAATATGATAGATTCTTTACAAGATTTTAATGGCTTATTTAATTACCGACTTCATGAAAAGAAAGGTCTTTCAGCATTTACATGCATTCAGCAGGCTTGTCAACTCATCACCTTACTGTCACATTTAAGTTATTTAAGTTATGTGTTAAATCTATTCCACTCCCAGCTCACAGCACCGTCAGCAGCCCTCTCTCCACTCAAATGTAACGATCACACAGAGGGCAGCTCCACAAAGGCAGGGAACCTTCAAGTCTGTGCAAGAAAGAAAAAACAAAGAGCACCCGCTCTATGTGAAGGATCGTTTATTAAACATGGCAGAGGAAGCAGTAATGTACTCACAAGTAACGTGTGAAGCCAAGCCTATCCAAAAGTTTCTTTCAATGGAGGCTTAAAATCCCATCAGACAACACAGCACTGCTCGCTCAGTTCACTGACAAGCCGTCTTCCAGCACTGAGTTTATTGCGTTAACGCATTTCTGGGGCAGGCCCCCTTCCTTAGAACCCTCTGAGGAAGGGGACGTGCCCCAGAAACACATTAACCTGGTAAACTCAGTGCTGGAAGACAGCTTGTCAGTGAACCGAGCGATCAGTGCTGTGTTGTCTGGACTTTTCTGGATTTTGAGCCTCCATTGAAAGAAACTTTTGGATATGCTTGGCTTCATACGTTACTTGTGAGTACATTACTGCTTCTCTTGCTATGTTTGTTAAACGATCCTTCACATAGAGCATGTACTCTGTTTTTTCTTTCTTCTATAGGTTCTGGGTTAATTGGATTAATACAGTGTCTTGCCTGCTTTCAACTAGGTGACCTGTGTAATCCATATGACTTGGTACTTAAAGAGGGAATTTGGTAATACACATGCACCTGGCCTCTTGGAAGGAAAGTGAGGACATTTTTGTCTTCCGTATTTTACACTGACATGTGATGGCGTAGAATTTCCCCAATGTAAATTAATTGAGGATCTACTTCACCACTCTACATATTGAATGTGGATATATTTGTGAACCTCAGTTCAAACACATACAAAGGAAAGATGATATTGCGTTTGTACACAGCTTTTACAACTTTCTTTTTTTTTTTAAACGGAGTATACGTTTGGAGTTCATTATATTGAGAGACAAAGACATTCCTTTATACACAGACTCTTTTATTTAATATGGCCAAACATGGCCCTGAGGTGACTGTCAACTCATATTGCTTTGAATGTGGCATTCCTAGTTTCTTTAAGTATAACAAATATACAAACCTTTTACATAATTCCAATATTTTTGGCTTTACAGTGTTGCACAGCACCTGCCAAGAGTCTTAATCCTAAGAATCCTAGGAGAGTTGGTTCTGCTGTTCAGATAGGGGGAAATTCCACTCATCTTTTCTCAGAGTCTTCTGACCGTAATGCTTCTTACCCCCTTACACAGTCAGCAAAACTCCAGCGAAAACTTCCACCATGTAATCTCAGAAGAACACGCCCATACTTCGGGTTACTAAATGATTCGTCTGATAGTATGCGCTCTGGCCAAAAGTCCGTAAGTGTGAAGGAGGACCACACCCCCTGCCAAACATCTGCCATGGAGTTTACAAGCTCATCTAAAACAACAACAAGCAATGGATTCCGAGCCAAAGAGCTCTCACTGGATTTTGAGAGTCCAAGCACCGTTTTTGTGATCTGTGAAGAAGCAGATGACCAGCAGCCTTTGGTATTTGATGACCAGCTCAGTCCGGCTACAGAGTCTCTGTCCAAAAAGCATGATGGGTACATAACAGATGACTGTTACCTAGCATCCACAAAGGCTTGCTCTCGTGCAAGCACAGGAATAAATTCAGCTGGAGATTCCACTGTTCAGTGCATGGAAAATAAAATGTCTTTAGGTTCAGCTTGGAATGTAACCAGTCAATGTACTGCAGTTGTTGGTAGACAGAGCTCTGCAGTCTGTACAAATTTTCCATCCACACCAATAGGATTAGTTACAGAATGATTGAACTTTTTATGCTCAAAGACTTTATAAATTACACCACCCTCAAACACATTCAAAGGATTTGGGAAGTCTTGCCACCACTATTCAATGACCTTAAATAATCCCATCTACTCCTGACCAACACATTTTCCTGTGCTCCCTTTATACCAGACTGCCAATGAAAGCACTGAAAAAGAGTAGGGGAAATCCAGTGCCAAATACTGTGTTGAAAGGAAAGGAAGTGCCAGCTTTAACACTTTGTTTTTTTTTTCCATGGCATTGGGATGTAAACCACTCCTTCTCCATCTGCATGTGTCTTCATTCCTTCCTTTACTGACGGTGTTAAGTTCTGTTAACCTGTCAATTTAAACCAGCTCTGGATTGTGCCACTTTTGATATATGATAGCTCTTTCATACTATGCAGCTGTTCCACATGATGTTTTCTCTGTCACACACATGGAGTTAAAGAGAATCTGCTTTAGCAGAAAAGCTAAATGGAATTCGTTTGCAGTTACACAGGCGTTTTGTTACTGATCGTTTCACGCATTCTGGCTAAACCTTTCTTTTTGTTTTGTGTTTGGGTAATGTGAGTATCGACTTGCACAAGTAAACACAATGAACATTTCATCACAATTTGTAACGCACATAGGAAAGTGAAATTTTATCACAAGCTGTTGTTTTTTAACGCACAATAAAATACTGGCATAAACTCTCCAGCAGCCCTAAATGCAGCTTCTGCAGAGGGCACCCTTGTCACTGTTCACTCCTTCTGCTTCTGGAAGAACATTCTGCCCTTTAATGTGCATCGGTCACTTGCACATTGTTCTCCTCCAACCATGCTGCTTCTTTGTATGTATTGTCAACCCTTCTACAATACTATACGGTGTAGGTTTTTGGAATAGCTATCAACTGTGGACCAAGGCTTTACTGTGCTATTAAACTTTGTGCTTTTGTAAGTATTTTAGGGAACCAACTTTTACACCAATGTAATATCCACACAACAATCACGTATGTTTCAGGGTGATTTCTGTCCTTTTTTTCTCTTTCTGATTTTGAGTGTATAGCTATTAAAGTGGACAGCCCCAATTTTATATAGTAATTGTGATAATTTTCAGGGTTGTTTCAGTTTACTATGGCGGCACAGGTATGGCACACCAACTGATCTTTGAAGACTTGCCTGCAAATATATTTTTGTATATTCTGTCTGCTAAAAACAATCTACAACTGTTGCTCTGCTACTGTCTCTGCTATTGACCAAATTCCAGTTGTTTCCTGTTCGCAGAAAAAAAAATGATCATCCTTTTTTATATACCCTCATAAGATACCCATAGTTATTCAGAACAAAGTGTAATTCTGATTTGGTTGATACAAGTTACAATTCTGTGTGCATTGCTCTTTGTCTTATTAAATATAGACCATATGGAGTAAAATAAGGACACATTTATTGCTGATAAAATGAAGAACGTGTTTCTCATGGTCAAAAAGTTGCAACACATACTGTAGCACCTATGAAAAGTTATGTTAGAAAATGGAATGCAAGGTTCTGGTATGATTTAGCATTTGCTACCAGTGCTTTTCAATCTAGAATATAGACAGAAAGATCCCTACTCTTGGAAAGGAAAAGGTAAGACTTAGAGCAACACATTGTCAAGATTTGATAGCTGCAATCTATTTTCAAATACAAGACAAATTGTACATGATTTGGTGCTTTGTCCCCTTTTGATAAATCATTAATTCAATCATTACATTCAACATCATACAAGACGAGCTAGTTGTTTTTGTGTTCATTCAGGTTTCTAATCCACACCAAAAGATTGATGCTTCAGAATCCACACAGGCAAGGTCCAGCTGACTGCCAAGTCATTACCCCTAAATCTGACCGCTATGCTTCTCTTATTCCAAGTAAAAAAGCCCTGAACCATTTATTAGGATTTATATATTTAGATGCTCTAAAACAAAAAAAATAGAAATACTTTCATGATTGTTAAAGATTATACATTTTAATCCTGTTTTGTAGGATGTACTGACAAATGCTTGTAAATTACAACAGCGGAATGTTAAAATAGACTATGGATGTCTGAATTAATAAATGGCCTTATTCAAAGCTCTTTCTAGCTGCTTTTTGTGTTGTGAGTTAAATAAAATAATTGACAGTGTATATGTTGTGACTTATTTCAGCTGACATATTTTCATAAGACTCTTTACATGTGTGAGTGACCTTATGTCAAATACAGGCCGATAACTAAAAGGTTTACCTTAATGGTAGGGATGCACAGATACTTTTCGAGTACCAGTGCAGATACTTGGCATTTTCATAAGAACTACCGGGGTTGCAGCTGGGGCACCAAGGACCTGTAGCACTCCTTACTGGACTTCCCATGTGGAGATGACTTTAAGCCTGATGAAGGGGACCCTGTGCGGCCCCGAAAGCGCTTGATTCCTTTCGAGTGAATAAAATGAAGATTCACTAAAATCTTTTGTTATTTTGTCGTTTCTGGAGTGCTGGTGACATCCATATCTCATATATTAGTTTCACCTTTTAAGTTGCATTAGTGAAATAAATTAACTTTGCACGATATTCTAATTATTCGAGTTTCACCTGTAGATATCATTTGCAGGGAGACAACTATTGCTGTTGGTGCCACTCCATATTTATGTACATTTGCTGGATGTGTGTGAATTATGGCTGAAAATGAGCAGCAAGCAGCAGTCTACCCGTCTCTGGATAATACACTGTTATTGGTATATCAGTGGTATCACTGTTGAACAAAAAAAACCCCACCAATTATCTTTTTTTTTTTTTTGGTCAGTGAGCAAGTTAAGTGATTTTAAAGCAGAATTAGACCCACTAATTTATTGGTCTCCCAAAGCAGTTCCTTTTTAGGCATGCCAACTGTCAAGGTTGCCAGTGAACTTATGTCAGCTCTCAACCCAACCTTCAAGCTCTAAAATGGCCGGTGTCATAACTGATCATATGTGCAACAACATTGCAACTGCAATCCAAATAAAGAATAAGCTGGCACCTTCTGTAAAGGATAGGAGGGTGTATTTCCGCTATGATTAATGTTAAGAAAAAAAAAATCTGTTGTAAATTTAACAAATGAAATAAACCAAAACACTCTTTATTTTCTTATTTAAAAAAAAAATGCTGCTGATCAGGCAATTGCTGGAGTTGACCCTCCATTTTATTGATTTATGATTGATCAGATGACAGTCACTTGTCATTTCATGTGCGAGGTGGTTCTTGATGCTTGTTGTCCGTTGTCTCTTGTATCTGTTTCCTCCATTCAGAGATCTATCTGGTTTTAAGTACTGTTCGGCAGAGCCTCATTGTAAGAAGGGACTTGTGGTTTGCCCTGTGTGGGAAATTTACTTTTGTGCAGTTCAAGGTCTGTTGGATCAGGGCGTTATTATTCATGCTCCTTTTGGCAGAACAGTTTCAAGGTTATTAATCAAACCTGTTTACGATTCCCAAACCAATTTGGAGCCATTTCTCAGATTCTGGATTTGAAAGCACTTGTATGTATTCACAAATCCCAGATGGAATCCATTTGGTCGGTTGTCGCCTCTTTGACAAGAAGATTTTTGTTTTGTTTTGTTTCCATAGACATAAAAGATGCATATCTACAAGTTCCTATTTTTCAAGCTCATCAGCATTTTCTTCACCTTGCTGTAGACAACCCTCATTATCAATTTGTGGCTCTTCCCTTTTGGGTTGCCTTCGATTCCAAGTGTTTTTACAAAAGTTCTTGCTCCAATTCTGGGACTTTTATGTCGCAAGGGCGTTCCAATTTATCGGATACTTAAGATGACCTTTTGCTTCAAGAAGAGTCTCTTCTGATTTTGGAACGTAATGTCTCGACGGTGCTGTGGACATTAGAGGACTTTGATATTCAGAATCCACCCAAAGTAATTCCTGGTTCCATCAAATTACTTAAAGTACTTAGGTCTTCTGTTGGATACCTTTCCAGCAAAGGTGTTCCTTCCTCAGAACAAAATATTGAAGTTGAAGGATCAAGTTTGGTCACTTCGGTCCTGTCGTTGATGCTCTCTGAGAACTGCATGAGATTTTTGGGTCTGATGGTATCCACCTTCAAAGCAATTCCATTTGCTTAGTTCTATTCCAGGCCTTTACACAGGAATAATCTTACAGCGTGAGACAAGTCTCCATTATCACTGGACAAGATGATCAGATCATCTGTCGGTGCAGGGTTGCTGGCATCTGGGGGAATCCAAGTTTCCGGTCAATGTCCTGGAGTTGAGAGCAATTTGTCTGGCACTGTTTTACTGGACACGTCTTCTGTCCAGGTTCAGATTTAGTCAGAGAATGCCATGGCGATGGTCTACATCAATCACCAGGGAGGCACAAGGAATGTGTCACCGTTGACAGAAGTACATTTAATTTTGGACTGGGTGGAGCTTCATGTTCCAGCAGTCTCAGCGATGCGCAGTCGAGCAGGTGGACTCTCAGGTAGATCCGGTAGAGTGGTCTCTCCATCAAGAGGTTTTTCAGCAACTTTGTCACCACTGGGGAAAGCTGTATGCGCATCTTCTAGCCAGATTTATAGCCAGAGCAAGGGATCCAACGGTGCATGCAGTGGTAGCTTCGTGGGATTGGTGCATCCGGATGTATCTCTTTGCTCCTCCTGACTTTATTACATTCTCTGCTTCGCAGGATAGAACGCATAGGAGTTCCTGCCCTTCTCATCGCTCCAGATTGGCCTCGCAGGGTGTGGTATGCTGACCTGGTTCGTCTGTTGGCAGATGATCTGTGGTCTCTGCCAGATCTCGTCTCAAGGGCCAATCTTCCACCCTGCTTCTCAGTTGCTGGCTTTTATGGTCTGGCTGTTAAATTCCAAGTGTTAAAAGACAGGAATTTCTGATTCTGTTACTCAGATTGTACTTCAGCCTCGTAGATCTTCTACTTGTAAAATTTTTCACCGTATGTGGAAGGTTTAATTTAATTGGTGTGAATGTTTGGGGTTTTCCCCACAGGCCTTTTGCTATTTTGCAAATTTTGTCTTTCCTTCAATCCGGGACAGGTCAACATTTAGCTCTCAGTACCCTTAAGGGTCAGATCTGCCTTATCAGTCCTTTTTCAACATCCTCTGGCTTCTAAACCCATGATTCATACTATATTCAGGGAGTTACATGTGTTGATCGTCCTGTTAGGTCTCAACTTCCAATGTGGGATTTAAACTTGGGATTTAAACTTGGTTTTATCTGTTTTACAAAACCTTCTTCCAATGTGGGATTTAAACTTGGTTTTATCTGTTTTACAAAAACCTCCTTTGGAAACTATAGATATTTCTTTATTGTTATTGTCCAAAAAGGTTGTTTTTCTTGCGGCCATTTACCTTGGCTAGAGGGGTTTCAAAGTTGCCTGCTTTGTCCTGTGGAGAGCCCCTTTTGGTTCTTCATAAGGACAATGCTATTTGAGACCACAGGTTTCTGTTTTTACTCAAGGTGGTTTCAGCCCCTCAACTCAATTTAGGATATTGTTTTTACCGTCACTTTTTCCAGCTCCTGTTCATCCTCGGGCAATTTCTCTTTTATTTCTTGGATGTTGTGTGCTATTAGTTTGTCCGTCACTGCTTCCTTTTTAGATGTTCAAATTCTTTATTTGTACTAACAGAAGGTTCTAGTAAAGGTTGTTCAGCTTCTAGATCCACAATTTCAAAATTGATTTATCAGGTTGTCATTCAATCTTCAGAGTTGCGGCATAAGGCACCTCCTTTTCCTGTTTCCGCTCATTCTTCTAGGGCAATTAGTATTTCTTGGGCCTTTAAAAATAACTCAAATTTGCAAAGCTTGGTCTTCTGCTGACACCTTTGCAAAGTTTTATAAAGTTAATGCCTCCTCTGATTCTAGTTTTGGCAGAAAAGTTCTTCAAGCAGCTGTTGAAATTAATTTTGACAGTTCCTTTTTTGTTGTTGAACTCGTTCGTTTCGTTGTTGTGGTGCCTGCTTCTCTGTTTGGACTGCTTTTTGAACGTCCCTACGTGTCACAATTCTTTAGCGCGGTCTCCCTCAAAGGACAAACAAGAAAATAGGATTTTGTTCTTGCTGTAAAATCCTTTACTCACAGTCCCCTCAATTCCTTTTGTACTGCTTGCTACACCTGGCAGGTGTGAGGTGTTTTGTCCCTAAAGTGTAAAGTTTTTAATTTATTTGCCTAGTGTCCATTTCACCTGGAGCCATTAGCATAACCCTACATCTCAGAATTTTTTCAGAGCGTTGACCCTCAATAGACTGAGAAAAGAATGTCATGGTAAGAAATCCTATTTTTCAATAATCACACTTCTTCATAAAAGAAATAGCATTATTTTTTGGGGTATTGGAGCCAGTAAAGCATTGCACCTGTCATCATTTGATTGCAGGGGCAATGCTCCTTCTCCTGTCCATGCTGAGGTAAGGACAGTAACAGGGAGGAAGATGGAATGTACAAGTGCAGTGATGTCACTGCACTTCCATGCTACGGAGACCTACAAGTCATTCTGCTGTTGTGTCTGATAGGACTAGTAGTTTCTCCATTCACATATCCTGTCCAAGGATCTGTGAATGGATGGCGTGGCGATGTGGGCAAAACCACACACAGCCGTGCTGAATTACAAAATGTAAAGAAGCCTGCAGGGAGAAGAACCCTACGATTCAGGGTGAGGGGGTCTGGAAATATGGGTGTAATATGAAATATGGTCAGAAAGGTAAACCTGTAATAATGAGGGAAAGAAAAGGATAGTTGTCACCATTCAAGAACAGGGAAAACAATCATTGTAAAAATATCCATCTTTTTTAATGGATTTCAGTTTGGGGGAGGGGGGCAGAAAGTGTTAGTAGCTTAACATTGAAGCAA